AAATCTGTCAATGTAATCCACCATATAAAGAGACTGAAAGAAAAAAACCATATGATCATTTCATTAGATGCTGACAAAGCCTTTGACGAAATCCTATACTGCTTCCTGATGAAATTGTTGTAGAGATCAGGGATACAAGGAACATACTTAAATATAATAAATGCAATGTCATTGCAAGCTGACAGCCAACATCAAATTAAATAGACAGAAACCGAAAATGATTCCACTAAAGTTAGTAACAAGACAAGGCTGTCCACTCTTTCCAAATCTATAGAATACAGTACTCAAAGTTCTAGCTAGAGTAATTAAACAACAAAAAGAGGTACAGTAGATAAAATTTTGAAAGGGAGAAATCAAACTTTTGCTATTTGCAGGTAATATGATTGTATACACAAGTGATCCCCAAAAGTCTACCAGGAAACTCCTTCTACAACTGATAAACGACATCAGTAATGAGGCAGGATTCAAGATTAAATAAAAAAATCAGTAGTCCAAAAGATAACTGAGAGGAGAAAGAAATCAGAGAAACATCAACCCTTAAAACAACCACAAGTAATACAAAATATCTTGGAGTAATTTAACCAAATGTGTGAAAGACCTGTATGACAAGACCTTTATGCCTTTGAAGAAAGAATCTGAGGAAAATGGGAGGATCGCTCATGCATATGGACAGATATGATCAAGATAATAAAAATGGCAAGTTACCCATAGCAATCCCATCAAAATCCCAGCACAAATATTTACATACCTCAAAAGTACAACATTCAACTTCATAAGGGAAAAAAAAAAAAGGACAGCTAAAACAATCCTTTACAATAAAGGAACTTCCAGAGGCATCACCATCCCTGATTTCAGACTCTACTGTAGACCTATAGTAATAAAAACAGTTTTGTATTGGCATAAAAACAGACATGTGGAACCATGAATAGAACTGAAGACCCTGACATTAATCCACACACCTAGGAGTACCTGATTTTCGACAAAGAAGCCAAAACTGTACAATGGAAAATGAAAGCATCTTCAACAAATTGTGCTGGCATAACTGGATGTCAGCATATAGAGGATTGCAGATAGATCCATAACTATTGCCATGCACAAAACTCAAGTACAAGTGGATCAAAGACCTCAACATAATCCAGTTACCCTGAATGTAATAGAAGAAAAAGTGGGAAGTAGGCTCAAAGGCATTGGCCCAGGAGACCACTTCCTAAATATAATAGCAGTAGCAAAGACATTGAGGCCAACAATTAATAAATGGGACCTCCTGAAACTAAGAAACTTCTGTAAGGCAGATGATATGGTCATTAAGACAAAAGGATGACAGCCTTCAAATGTCAAAAGATCTTATCCAACCCCATGTCTGACAGAGGACTGATCTCCAAAGTATATTAAGAACTCAAGAAAGTAGACATAAAAATACCAAAAATCAACTAAAAAATGGGGTACAGAGCTAAACAGGAAAATCTCAACAGATGAATCTCAAATGGCTGAAAGACATTTAAGGAATTGCTCATAATCCTTAGAAATCATGAAAATGCAAATCAAAACCACACTAAGATACCATCTTACACCTGTCAGAAGGGCTAAGATAAAAAATAAAATACTCTCATCCAGTGACTGATGGAAGCAGATCAGAGATCCTCGGCCCAGCCCCAGGTGGAGCTCCAGGATTCCAATAAGCAAGAGAGAGGAGGAATTATATAAGCAAGAGATATTGAGACCATGATTGGAAAAAGCACAGGGACAAATAGCTAAACTAGTGGATAGAGATAAAGTGTGAACCAATAGCTGAGGAGTCCCAATGGAACTGGACCAGGCCCTGTGTATAAATGAGACAGTTGATTAGCTTGTACTGATTAGGAGGCCCCCAGGCAGTGGAACCTGGACAAGTCCTTGGTGCATGAGCCAGCTTTTTGTAACCTAGGGCCTATGCTGAGACAATTTGCTCAGCATTGGTGTAGGGAGGAGTGGACTAGACCTGCCTCAACTGAATCTACCAGGCTGGGCTGACTCCCCAGGGGAGACCTTGTCCTGAAGGAGGTGGGAATGGAGTGTGGATTGGGGGAGAAGACTGAGGGGTGGGAGGACGGAGGACAGGGTAATCTGTGGTTGATATGTAAAATTAAATTAATTATAAATTTTTTTTCAAAAAAATTAAAAAATAAAAGAAAAACAAAAAACTGAGGGCAGCTTATGTTGGAGAGGCTGTGGAGTTCAGAGAACACTCCTCCACTGCTGCTGGGAGTGCAAACTCGTACAGCCACTTTGGAAAATAGTATGGCTATTTCTTGGCACACCGGGGAATCAATCTACCTCAAGACCCAACCATATCTCTCTTGGGCATATACCCAAAGGATACTCAATCATACTACAAGGACACTTGCTCAAATAAGTTCATAGCAGCATTATTTACAATAGCCAGAACCTGGAAACAACCTAGATGTCCATCGGCTGAAGAATGAATAAAGATAATGTGGTACATTTACATAATGGAGTACTACTCAGGTGCAAAAAACAATGACATCAAGAAATTTGCAATCAAAGGATGGATTTAGAAGTAACCATCCTGAGTGAGCTAAACCAGACTTAGAAATGCAACCATGATGTGTGATCACTCATAAGTGGATACTAGATGTAAAGCAAAGTATACTCAGACTACAACCCACAGATTCAGAGAAGCTAAGCAACAAATAGGACCCTAAGAGGCACACATGGATCGATCCAGGAAGGTGAAAATGATGAGGTTTCCTGGGAAAACTGGAGGTTTGGGGAGGGAAGTGGTAGAGGAGAGGAGATGGGGGATGAGATCATGAGGGAAATGTATGGTCAAGCTGGGGGAGGGTCGTTGTAGTATAGCAACAAAAATATATCTTGATAGAGGGAGCCATTGTGGAGTTAGGGAAATTCCTAGGAATCAACAAGGATGACCCCAGCTAAGACTACTACCAATAGTGGAGAGGGTGCCTGAACTGGCCTTCCCCAGTAATCAGATTGGTGAATATCATAACTGTCATCACAGAGTCTTCATCCAGTAACTCATGGAAGCAGATGCAGAAGTGTACACCCAAGAAGTACCAGGCCATGATCTGTGAGTTCAGTGGAAGAGAGGGAGGAGGGATTATGTGAGCACGGAGGTGTTAATATCATGATGGGGAGACCTATAGAGACAGATGAACCAAGCTTGTGGGAGGCCATGGACTTTAGATCAACAACTGGGAGCTTGCATGAGACTGAACTAGGACTTCTGAATGTAGGAGACAGTTTTTTATCTTTGTCTGTTTGAGGGAACCCTGGCGGGGGTACCAGGATCAATCCCTGGCAGATGAGCTGGCTTTTTGGTGCCAATTCGTCATGGTGGGATGCCTTGGTCAATTTGCTGCAGAGGGGAGGGTCTTCGTCCTGCCTCAACGTAATGTACCAGGCTTTTTGACTCTTTATGGGAGGCGTTACCTTTTGGGAGGAGTGGATGAGGGTGGGCTGAAGGGGAATCGATGGGTTGAGGGTAGCAGGAGAAGGTGTGGTAGGGGAATTGTGGTTGGTATGTAAAATGGATTTTTAAAGAGAGAGTATGAGATGAACACTGCTTAATAAAGAAGATTGACTTCAGCCATAACTAGAATGACACCAAATTCAGAAGATGGGCATATAATAATTTAATCTGTGGGTTTTCAAAATGCTAATTCACAGTGAATGTGGAAATTCAGCTCTTAAAGGCAAGATCAGCTTTTTGCCCAATATCTGACTCCTGTATTTTATTGATAAGACTAGTTAGGATCATGCTTCAAGTTCTAAAAGTTACTTAAACTACTTAAAAATTTCATTTGCTCCTAAGGTCTAGGTATACAATATTAATAAAAAATGAAAAAGGGCAATGAAAACAATGAACATCATGTCCCATTGACACCATTGCATTATAGACCAGTCCAAATCAGAGGAAGAATGTGAGCTAGTTGATACTTGAATGCCTAAAAGAATACTAGCTGTAGAAACAGGAACTTCCACACTTGTCAATTGTGAACTGAGAGAAACAAAGACTACATTTTTTTTTTTCCGAGACAGGGTTTCTATGTGTAATTTTGTGCCTTTTCTGGAACTTGCTTTGTAGACCATGCTGGCCTCGAACTCACAGAAATCAGCCTGCCACTGCCTCCCGAGTTCTGGGATTAAAGTTGTGTGATGCCAACGTGACTCGGCCAAAGAATATCTTTTTCAGTTACTCCTAGACAAATGTTCCTTAGCCTAGTGGTCAAACCATGCATGTGACTAATTAAGGGCATTTTATGTAGTTCAATCTGTTTATACAGTTTAATCTTGAAATCCGTGTCTATCATGAAGTCTCCTGCTAACATTGCAGGCATCTGGGACATACAGCAAAGCTGTAGGCAGAATTCCATGGATGGAAAAGAGGGGATCTCTCAAGTGATAGTTGGCCTCTTTGTAAGGAAGAAAGAGGGCCACTTTCTGGAAGTAACTAAAGGGAATGGTTCTATCTTCACATTACGTTTGGCAACGAGCACCAGATTTCATTCACTCATACTCAGAATAAGAAACAGCAAACAGTAATTGCATGCTAAATATTTTATTAGAGTGTTGAAGGTAAACTTACAACATCATTGTTGCATTGAAAAGACACTAAAGGTAAGTCTTCCAGTTCACCTGAAATAAATAAATAAATAAATAAATAAATAAATAAGTAAGTAAGTAATAAAAAACAAATAATTAAATAAACTCACCAAGAAGAAAGACACAACATGCAGTATTAATATATTCTGAGATACTTCTTAGTTTTTAGGCTATCTAATTATGGTAGAGTTAAGACTTTGATGGAGAGTGAAGGCAAATCACATCCATCATAGAATTCTACGGTATACAGTCCATATAAATTTTGGATGTATATGTGATCTAATTCTTTAGGAGTAGTGTGCTGATACATGGCATTTAGGGACTGGTGTGAAGGATAAACTATCTGATTACCTTTGTCCTGATGAGGAACTTTGTGGTTATCCAGAAAATCTCCACAGGTAACTATACTGTTTATCATTATTCTGCTGGGGTGGTTCTTGTTGATTTACAGATCTAGGAGGGCGATTTTGTTGCTGTCCTCCCTGCTGGGGTGGGCCTTGCTGGTTTCCAGGTCTAGGAGGTTTATTCTGTTGCTGTCCCCCCTGCTGAGGTGGGCCTTGCTGGTTCTGCTGCTGTCCTCCCTGCTGGGGTGGGCCTTGCTGGTTCTGCTGCTGTCCTCCCTGCTGGGGTGGGCCTTGCTGGTTTCCAGGTCTAGGAGGTTTATTCTGCTGCTGTCCTCCCTGCTGGGGTGGGCCTTGCTGGTTCTGCTGCTGTCCTCCCTGCTGGGGTGGGCCTTGCTGGTTTCCAGGTCTAGGAGGTTTATTCTGTTGCTGTCCCCCCTGCTGGGGTTTGCCTTGCTGGTTCTGCTGCTGTCCTCCCTGCTGGGGTGGGCCTTGCTGGTTCTGCTGCTGTCCTCCCTGCTGGGGTGGGCCTTGCTGGTTCTGCTGCTGTCCTCCCTGCTGGGGTGAGCCTTGCTGGTTCTGCTGCTGTCCTCCCTGCTGGGGTGGGCCTTGCTGGTTTCCAGGTCTAGGAGGTTTATTCTGCTGCTGTCCTCCCTGCTGGGGTGGGCCTTGCTGGTTTCCAGGTCTAGGAGGGCGAGGTTGCTGGTTATTGTCTCCTTCTTGTGGTGGTCCCTCTGGTGCATTTCCCTCTTCTTCACTGTCATCAGCATTTTCACCATCATCTTCCTCAGAGGCAGAAGGTCCTGGGGGGAATTCTCCAGGAGGGGGTCTCTGATGCTGTTGACCATGGCCTTGGTTTTGCTGTTCTCCCTCTGTTTGGGTATAGATCAATGTAGAATGAGTTTATACCTTCTCTTTCTCTGATAACACCCTCACAACATTATGTCCCTGATTCTCCTTTAAGATTATTTTTCACATTTATCATATGAACTTCCTTATGTCTCCACTCTTCTGACATATATTTGTTCTTAAATTCGGTGCATTAAAGATGACTTTGTGTTCTTTATATTATTCAGACGCGAAGAAAGGGGAAGAATTTTTTAATGTTATTATTTAGAAGTTGGCAGAGTAGCAAAATTGTGAGAGCAATGCTCTATTCTTAAATATCTCGTGATGTTTAGAGTCCTATAACCATGTGGAGAACAAGAAAGAAATGTAGGATAGCAATGGGAAGATGTTCCATTCAATATTCTTGCAGTGTTTTTGTATGTATTATTTAACTGTGCATACAGACCAGAGAAAAATAAATTTTTATAGTGGGAGAGCATTGGATCTGTGTGATTGCATATCTTCTGATCGATCATATAATTCTCCTTGGAGTCACTGGTGAAAGAAGAATTCTACAAACAACCTATAGTGCTATTGGAGATTTTAAATTAGGACCCCCAATGTGTTCATCATATGCAAGCCATTACTTCCATCTGTGGAATAGACAAAATGTTCCTGTTATAAAAACCTGGCTTCCAACTCTTCCATTGTACAACCCTGCTCCAGTTCCTAGAAGCATTGTTGGGATGTCTTCCCATATACCTCAGGGGAAGCTGTCAATCATTCCTTTCATAGAATAACAAAATGTTAACGAGATATTAAAGAACGGAATAGTTATAGAATAAAGGATACATAGAATGTCAATAGAGGAAGAATCTGGTTTTACCTAGGAGCTGCGAAGAAGGGTTTCCATAGATGATTGCTAGAAAAGAAGCACAAAATAAATGAAAATTTACTCATGACATTTTCTGGATGCTCAATAAAGATGACTTTAAACTACCACTTCACATCCACTATGCAGAATTTAATCTTGCATAATGTTGCTGATAATGTTGCCAGGATAGTCTCCATGGCAGCAGCAACCATTACTTTGTTCCTCACTAGCTGTGTCCATCCTTACTGTCCGTCTCCTTTACATTAGGGGAATTTCACGGTAATATGTTCACAGTCCTTTGTTTTTTTTTTATGACGTTCATTTCTTACAGGGTATATCCCTTGGCATTTCATGCATGGAAATAAGAACAAACATTGCTTTAAAGCCATGTATAGAACAATGAACATTGCATGTGTGTCATTACAATAGAGAAATGGGTCCAGCCAGATATCTCAGTGAGGAAAAAAGTGCTTGCCTGTTGACTTGAATTCAGTTCCTGGAGCCACATGCTATAAAAAGATAGCTTGGTGCTAAAAGGTTGTCCTCAGGCAGGACTGTGAATAAGCATTCAAATTCTCTCTCTTTCTCTCTCTGTCTCTCTGTCCCCATCTCTGTCTAACTCTGTCTCTGCCTCTCTCATTCTTTGTGTGTGTGTGTGTGTGTGTGTGTGTGTGTGTGTGTGTGTGTGTGTGTGTTGTGTGTGTGTGTCTGCCTACCTTTGGCTTTCTCAAATTCACATTGTACATACACACACACACAGACACACACATACACACACACATATATGTACATACACACACATACATACACACACAGGGGTACACGCACAGACATACACAGAAATGATTTTTAAAAGAAATTATTTCCTGAAATTTCTAGTTATTTTAAACAGAGTTTCAAATTTATTACATTTTCCTACTTCTATTTCTCAAAGATATGCCTAATACATATTTACTTCTTTCATTTTTCTCTATCCTCTGTATACCAAGCCTAGCATCATTCACTATCTGCTTCTCTAACACCTTGAGTACTGAGTTCCTCTCTGTCAACTGTAACTTATTGCCACACATCATCCACCACCAAAAACATCTTTTCACAAATCCACTTATATTATTTTGTTGCAAGAATATTTTCTTAAATTTTGCTTTATTTAAATCCGAAATCTACAAGCAAAATGATAATATAAATGTCCTAATATTTGTTCCCATATTTCTTTGCCTCAGTTGCATGTCATTTCCCCCCATTCCTCCCATTCCTGAACTTCAGTGTGTTGCCCAAATCCCATGTCTCTCTGCTACCCTCTCTCCTACTTTATACCTGCATTTGAGTTCTGAACAGAGCTCAGGGCCAATAACGCTGCTGTGAGCAGGACCACCAGCATCTTGGAAGAGGCTCTGGAGTTACTCCCAAGTGTGTGCTGGAGGAAGCAAGGCCACAGTCTTTATAAGAAAGGCAAAACAAAGGCACCTTTCAGGTCCTTACAGGTGACCTTCCCTGACAGGGCAGGATACCTCGCATCCTTGACTTTTCTTTGGGATTTTAGCCTAGCAGGATGCAGTGTGGAGGAGGTTATCAATGTCTCAGTTCTATATGGTACAATATCAAATTTCGACAACAATGTTGAAGTGATCAGACAAAGTTCAGATATTAGAAATGAAGTTCTCTTACTGTTTAAGCCCTAGTTTTATAGAACTGTGACTCTGATCCTCTGAAATGTGATTGTGGGGGCATTTTCTTCTATACATCCTTTTGTCCATACTCTTCTTGTCATTGAGACTATAGATGGGTAGTCTCTCTGCTATGAAGTGATAAAGTCCATTCATGGCATTATATGAATGTGTTACCACATATATAACATTTAGCTGATTGTTTTGTTCAGTTCAGCATGAAGTTAGGACACAAAGCAGGAATGCATAGTAACTTAGACCAACAAAACTGACAGCCTGTTTGGCCCCAGAAAGGTGTTCCAGAATTCTCAGAACTGGTTCAATTCATAGAAACTATGATATTGTAGAATTAGATTACTGAATACTCTATTCTTCACATCGTCCTCTGTTAGAGAAAGGAAAGTGGCAATAGGGAGCCCATGAAACTCTAGGACCAGGTAATCCATGTGCACCCAGTTGTCCCATAATGCACGAATGCTGTGGTTCCTGGCTAACATCTTCACTGTAACCTTATAAATGCTGTGTTGATAATATTGATTTAGATTATGTTTTAGTATGGTTCTCTCCATTAATTATTCTTAAGCAATGACATGGAGTATTGATTGAGTAAACCTTGAACAACGTGGTCTGACATCCTCTTCAAACATTCCACAGAAGTGCTTTTTCTGATTGATTTTCAACATGGAGAATCTCATGTTCTGATATGGAGTGCTTCAGTTTTTTCTAATCTGACTTGTTGATGATTTTAAGATCAATACCACCTACTGATACATATCTCAGTATCATTTTTGGGCCTTTTACTTTTCTGATGCGTCCCTTGACTTCCAATTCAAACTAATGTTTACTTCGTTCATTAGTGTGTTTGTGATTTGGCCTCCTTGCTTGACTTGCTACTCTTCCCCCATGACCTCCACATGAGGAGTACAGATGTGAACCCCAAAGACAGCTTCACTCTAGTCTTCATTAGCATACTTTCATTTTTAAAACAATTGGTTAGTGGATAACCAAGTGTGGTGTCACACACCTTGAATCCCAGCACTTGGAGGCTGACACAGATGCATCTCTGAGATTTTCAGACCTGGTACCTCTACAAAGTGTTGTTCCAGGACAGGTAGTGCTGTTCTACAAGGAAAACTTGTTGGGAAAAACAAAAAATGATGTCTAGATATTGTGTGAAATGCCTCTTCCTTTGATACCAATGCTTCTTCATTCTGTCACCCTGTTCTCTTTTCTTTTCTTTTTTTTTTTTTGGTTTTTCGAGACAGGGTTTCTCTGTGTAGCTTTGCGCCTTTCCTGGAACTCACTTGGTAGCCCAGGCTGGCCTCGAACTCACAGAGATCCGCCTGGCTCTGCCTCCCGAGTGCTGGGATTAAAGGTGTGCGCCACCACCGCCCGGCAACCCTGTTCTCTTTTCTGTTGCACATTGAAGTCACTTGACTTTGGGCAGCACAAAACAGTAAATGTGTATAACTGCCTTTTGACATCTGACAACGTATCAGGCTTTCATAATTGCCTAGTGTTTGTGGGATTTTTAGAAATTTGAAGAATATTTGGATGAGGTAAAGCAGGTAGGGACATGTGACTGTAAGTTTAGATGATCCATCATCCAGTGGGGATCACTTTCCTGTGCTCTGCATATCAAAGTGCATGTTGGTTCATTTTGAACAGGTATAAAGATTATCTGAGAAAAAAAAACCAACAAGATAATGTCCTACAGATGATGTGACATTCTGTAGTGTCACCAGGTGGATATTTCTCCCCTAAGGGGGTAAGAGATGTATTCTGAAGGTGTAGTCTCTTAGAACTTGGCAATATTCTCTGGATGTATGAAAACCACAGAAATTCTCACATTCTTAATTCAAGGGCTTTAATGAAGACAGAGAACAATTTTCTGTTTTGATTATGGCCCATTGTTTATTGACATGTTAGTTTTCTAGTGTTTTCTGATTCAACATTGGAAGGACTTTTTGATTGAGTCCTGACCAGGTGTGGCTCTTGTCGTCTTTGAACATTGAACCAGGAAAGTGAGAGTAGGAACAGAGGAGAAAGGTGGGTGTACATGGTTGTGTGGGCAGTTGGGGCGTTGGATGTTCTGGCAGAATTCAGCCTTGGCCTTAGCTGTAGGTGTGTCCTGGAATAAAGAAGTTGATTTTGCCAAATATCTCACAGTCTGAGCCTATTCTTGACCTTTTCCAGTGTTAGCAGTGTGTGAAAGAGATTACTGTTGTATGCAAGAAAAATGTCACCTAAGAACTGACCAGAAAAAATATCAACAGATTGTGGAGGAAGTGAGAGGGACACTGTCAGTCATTAGTATTATGATGGGT